GGGGCATGGTGGCACATGCTTGCAAACCTGGCACTCTGGGAGTCTAAGCCAGGAGGATTGCAAGTTTAAGCCACTCTTGGGCAATTTAGTGATTTGGTGAGACCATGTCTCAAAATAAAAAAATTTTAAAAGGGCTGAGGAGGTAGCTCAGTACAAAAGGTTCAGTCCTCAGTGCTTCGAAAACAAAACAGAACAGAACACAACACAGCACAGATATTTCCATTTCCCTTCTACATTCGCCTTGGGGTTTTGTGTGAAACTTTCCCATCTTCTTATCATGTATTGCTGTACATAAATGTAAGTAGCTAGCCTGTGGTTAATTTTGTTTTAATTAAGCGAAGTGCTGTCATATTCTAATATGTACTTTCTCTTTTAGGTATTTGGGCATTTTTAGCTGGAAAGGATTATGTGGCTGGAAACTAGTTATAAATAAGTCTCTAAATGACTCAAGGGTTACTTGTACCTTTTCACTTTCCCTGTTACTTTTTGGATGTGAATCAACATGAATCTCAGAAATTCTGACTGTAATTCACTATACCGTTCTGTCAAAATGGGGGAAAATCGATTTTTATAACTTTCTAGTTATGGTGCTAGATTAAAGGAGCTTTTGAAGGTTAAATTAGTTTTATGACTTTATTCATTCATGGATTCACTCATTCATTCACCATATATTCAGTGAGCATGGACTATGCCAAAGACCCTTCTAGGTGCTGAGGATCCAGTTACAGAACCAACAAAAATCTATCCTTAAGAGTTAGACAGTAGGCGGCGTCTTGCTAGGTGCCGGGGGAGGGGATAGGCGCGGGGGCGTGTCCGTCTCGGGGCAGTCCCCGGCCCGGCCCGGGAGGATAGCCAAATGGCAGTGGTGGCGGACACTGTGACTTTAAGAGCACGCCGGGATTCCGCGAGCCAGCTGCGCTGTCCTTGGCTGCTGTGCACCCCTCGGAGCCGAGCCCGGCACGGGGCGCTGGTTGGACGGGGCGCCTGCTACCGGGCTGCTGAGAACCAGCCCTAGACCTCTGCGTGAGGGTCCTTGCTCTGAAGACGTCACCAGTGTGTGGAGCCTGCCCCACACCACCCCCTGCCAAACCACGGCCATTACCTGTGTCTTCCGGTGTTTCCCGTGTGACCCATCCTGTGGGAGTGCCTCGTGGGCGGCCACAGAGTTCAACCCACCCTCAGTGGCGCCAATGGTGAAGATGACAAGATCCAAGACTTTTCAGGCATATCTGCCCTCCTGCTGTTGTGCCCAGATTGCGAAGTCCCAAAGACCACCAGGAAGCCGTTCCCGATGCAAGCACACGAGGGTCGTTTATTCAAGCTCGAGCAGGGGCTCTCAGCCGTCACCGACGCAGCGGATCAGAATTGAGAGCCCCGAATTTCAAATTAGCGGGGTTTTTATAGAGGTTACAGCAAGGGTTCACTTAGCAGTTACATGATTGGTTGACAATTAGCGAGCATGAAGTGCACATTTTTGATTGGCTAGGTACATCGGGGGGTTGAGGGGTGGCTACATGTAGGTTTTACGAGGGAAAAGAGGGAGAAAGGTTAGTGGCCGACTGTCACGTACTGATGGTCAGCAGATCTACAGATTGTTCTATGGATAGTGGGCCCGGAACATTCATTTCCTGGGCAAACAGATGGCTGAGTAATTAACTTAGGAACTTTCGTTTGTTACAGATTTTATCTTCTGTCCCAGAGCAAACACATTTTAACCATTAATTTGAGAGGACAATAGGGACTAGTGCATTTTAGCGAAATGGAGTCGCTTTGGTCTCACACTGCCACCGGACCTACAGCTGCATTCACTGCAGGGCTCACCTGGCCAATCATGATGAACTAATTTCCAAGTCGTTCCAAGGAAGTCAAGGACGAGCATATCTCTTTAATTCAGTAGTTAATGTGGGCTGTGGGCCTGCAGAAGAGCGAGTATTGTTAACAGGACTACATGCAGTTGCAGACTTTTACTGTGAAAACTGCAAAACCACTCTGGGATGGAAATATGAACATGCTGTTGAAAGCAGCCAGAAATATAAAGAAGGCAAATACATCATTGAACTAGCACACATGATCAAGAACAATGGCTGGGACTGAGCGGGCAGCAGCCACCCAACCCAGTCTCCACGTGAATGCCATCCAACTGAACATTCTACCCAAGCGTGAGAGAGTGACTGAACACTTGGTTCCATCCATTTGGGGGCCTTGCCATCTGGGGCATCCTCCCACCCTGACACCATCTTTCTGGTGACTGGCCTCTAAATTGCTGTCTCTCTGTCTCTTTGCTTTGTATCTGTTTGTGAGTTGATCCTGGCTTCTCTCTCTGTTCTCATGTTTGCTGAAAACAAAACAACTAAAGGAACAGATCCTTGACCAGCCCGGCAGCAGCCCACCTCGCAAAGAGCCCCAGGGCCCTGCAAGAGCTGCCTGATGGCCTCTTATCAGGAGAGCAGTGGCACTGGGCGTGAGGAAGAAGGAAAAGGGGATCCCTGAGGTCCTGGGGGTGGGCAGGGGCGGGAGGGTGGAAGTAGGGACAGAACTGGACTGCTCCTTGAACCCTGGTAACTTAGGCTTGATATATTCGACTTGTCTAAAAGGACAAAGAAAAAAAATACCTCATAACTGCATTCTCTCTGATCAGAAGCCTCTCTTCCTGACACCCAATGTGCCAGGACAGCAGATGAGCACAGAAGGGGCCCAATGGTAGCTGATGGAGCAAAGGGCCTGGTTCTCTCTGGGTGAGTTAGGGAAACTGGGTAGCAGGGGGTGAGGTAGGTGAAGCCCAGGTGGGTTTTGATGACTGATGCCTCACACAGCCTCTGGGTAATCAACTTTGCTTCCTTAGCCACTGAAGATGAGGGGAGAGGGAACTGTCATTTGCAATAAGCGCACAATGGATCTGTCCCAAAGGCTTTGACCATCAACCAAGTAAAATCAGAAATTGAGGAGAGCAGGGCATAAGGATGTGTTGGAGCTTGGGAGCTCCTGAGGAATGGCTCAGATACTGAGCCAGAACACCAAGACATAGAACCAGTTAGTAATTCTGAATGTCCACCTTTCTTTTCCTGACTCTTAATAAGAGTGATGGGGCAGGGGGACGGATTGGGAGGAACCATGGGGGGAATAGATCAGATTAGTGCATATTTCTTCTTTGGTTATCAGTGGGGTCAGCTATCCTTTGTTCATTGTGCTTCAGCTGCTTTTGTCCAGTTCCATCATTGTAGACCATGGAAAACCAGACTCAAGGCTTTGAGCCTAATGATAACCTGGGTGGTGGAGTCCTCATGGCCCTAGTTCTGGATCTGAACAGATCTGTTCTTTCGGTCCATTAGTGGGGGGGTTACAGATTCCAGTATTATACTCTGCCCCTGCCTCCCATCCAAGCTTCGTTGTGTTAAGGAAGTGGAGAACAAATCCCTGTAAGGCTTGAGAGAAAGAAGAGTTTGTTACATTTAATCAACACTGTGAAGTCTGTTCTACGGCAATTCAGCCAACATACGGTACATGACCGAAACTCATTTCACGGAGTTAATTTCATTTTGTAGACGGAAAACGTTAAGATATGTGTGTATTGGGTAATTCTTAGCATCTCATTCTGCAAATAGGCTGATCCTATAGGAAAATGCAGCTTTAAAGGTCTCAAAAGAAAAAAAAAAGAGTGAGTTCATGGAGATAAGAATCCGTAAAAATCAGTTAACCAAGATTAAAGCAGCCAATCCAGGACATTTTCAGAATCACATCTGTAGCAAAACCGAATTCCCATAGGGAGTGAGTCTATGGTGGAAATGCCTCTTTGTGTCCATGTGCTGACTGCAGAATGGGAGATTGGACACTGGCATGGCCTGCCCTGCCAGTAGCAGATGGCAGGATGGCAGAAAGCAGGGTGACCCATGTCCAGCAGCGGACTGCCTCTCCTCCCCAAAATAAAGGGTTCCTAGAAATTGACTTCCTGCCCTTCCCAGTGCTTTAGTAGCCCTGGAGATTAAGTTGTTCTCCCTTCTTGCAAGACAGACTGGAAGGTTCAGAAGTAATTCTGCTTCCAAAGACATTGTCCTCTGGCTTCTAGGCCCAAGTTCTCAATAAACATTTTTTAACTTACACGAAAAAGAGTTAAACAAAGGGATATTAGGTTGAATAGTAGTAACTGCTATACAGAAAAATACAACAAGGAAGGAGAATGAGTTGGAAGAATTTGCTGTTTTGCAGTGGTCAGGGAAAGCCTTGTTAAGAAAAGTGGCATTTGGAGGAGGAAAAGCAAGACAGATGTACTCGAGGAATAGCACGAGGAATAGAATGGCTAGAGTGGAATGAGAGTGAAAGTGTGGTTTAGAGATGACTTCAGAGAGATAATTATGTTTTTTGAAAGTTGTACGTGTTGCTGGGGATGTAGCTCAGGGACACCACGCCTGCCTGGCAAGCGCTTTCAAGGCAGGCCCGGTGCCCCTGAGCTAAGTCCCTGGCCCTTGGATGTTAATTTTTAATTACCACAAGTGGATTATCTGCAATGCGTAGCATCATTTTAGGATACATTATGATTGCCTGAAACTAGGTTATATAAAGGGATCTGACCCTGATCTAGCGGTGAGATTCTTGGCTGCCAGTTACAGGCAGGCAGCTAATTAGCACGTGTATCTATTGTGTAACATTGTGTTGCTTGCCCTGAGGATGTGTGTGAGTTAAAGACCCCTCCCTCAGGAACAGTAATATTCATTCAGAGAATTATGTCTAGGTGTATCAAACAATAAGTAACAGTGTGTAATCAAATTATAAATATCATAGTTATTAACAGAAAAGTTTTTGGGGATTCTGATATTTAATCAGGAAAGACTTTGTATTTGGGACTTCTCTTTTTCAGGAAATAGGGTAAGAGTCAGAGTGATGGTGCATACCTGTAGTCCCAGCTCCTTAGGAGGCTGAGGCAGAAGGATCACTTGAGCCCTTGAGTTCTAGACCAGCCTCAAGAGCATAGACCCTCTGTGGGAAGGGAGAACAAAATGGGTACTATAGTTTTCAGAGAACAGGATTCAGTATGAACTAAGCATGGATTCTGCCCTGGGCTGTATCCCTAACCCCTGTGCTCTGTTTTTTGAGCTCCTTAGTTGAATGTTCTTTCTGGGTTGATCCGTTACGTCTTTTACCTTTTCACTCATTTTCTCTGTTTTTCTGTTATGGAATGTTGGACTATTTTGAAATTGTGTTTCTAATTGCTGGGAGCATTTTGTCTACTTGTTCTTTTTTCATAGTATCCTGTTTTTCTGTTATAGATGAAATCGGATCTCGGTTATGATACTTGTCAGATTAAAATTTTTAAAAATTTTTTTGGTTTTGTGAGACAAGGTCTAGCTGTGTATCCCAGGCTGGCCTCAAATTCTCAGTGATTCTTCTGCCTCAGCCTGCTGAATGCTGGGATTAGATTTTTATTTTCTAAGGTTTATTTTCTGGAGATTAAACCTAGGGCCTTGCACAGGCTTACCTTTTTTTTTTTAAATTCTTTTATTGGTCCATTTTAGGTATACAATATGTTTACATTTATCATTGGGTCCTTGTACCTGTACATGATGTATCTTGGTTCTTATTTTTTCCCCATTCCCTGTGCGCCCTTCACCCCCTCCACCCTTCCCTATTTACATAGATTTCGTTTCCATTTTTTTCCTTTTCTCACAATTTTTCCTTTTCCTTCTTTCCTTTCCCCTTCCCCTCCCACCACCTTTACCCCTTTGGACTTTTTCCTGTTTCAAATGATCAGTTATTTGTTTTAATCATTTTAATCCTTATTTACACTTTCAGTTTCTCATATTAGAGAAACTATTCAGTATTTACACGTGTGTCCTATTTATTTCACTTAAGAGTGTGGCCTTGATATAGATCCATTTAGCTATAAATGTCTCTAGTTTCTCATTCTTTATGCCTGAGTAGTACTCCATTTTATTAAAAAAACCACATTTCTTTATCCAGTTTCCAGTTGATGGGCACTTGGGCTGTTACCAAGCTTTAGCTATTGCAAACTGTACCACTATAAACATGGGTGCACATATATTGCTGTGGTATGATTCTTGTAATTCTTTGGGGAAGATACACAGCAGGGGAAGAGCTGGTTCAAATGGGACCTCTAGCCCTAGTTCTTTGAGGTATCTTCATACTGATTTCCACAGTGGTTGCACCCGTTTGCACTTGCACCAACAATGGAGAAAGGTTCCTTTCTCTCCACACCCCTGCCAGCATTTGTTACTGGTTGATTTCTTGATAGTAGCCATTCTTTGTGGGGTGAGTGGAATCTTGGTGTTGTTTTCATCTGCACCTCTCGAATGGCCAGTAATGTTGAACATTTTTTCTTATATTTATTTGCTGCTTTTACTTCTTTGTCTGAGAAATGTGTGTTCATTTCAGATGCCCATTTTTGATTTGGGTCTTTGAATTTGGGGGGTCTGATTTTTTTCAGTTCTTTATATATTCTAGATAGGAGACTTTTGTCTGAGGTACAGCTGCTAAAAATTGTTTCCCACATTGTAGGTTGTTTCTTAGCTCTGTTGGTGGTTTCTCTTGCAGTGCAGAGATCTCATCCCAGCTGTTGATTCTTTGTGCTAGTCCTTGTGCTACTGAGGTTTTGTTCATAAAGTCTTTTCCTATGCTAATGTCTTCAAGAGTTTTACCTAACTTATCTTCCAGCAAGTTTAGTGTTTCTGTCTTAATATTTAGATCTTTAATCCACTTTGATCTTAGTTTAGTGCATGGTGATAGGTATGGGTGTAGTTTTAATCTTTGGCAGGTTGAAATCCAGTTTTTTCAACACTGTCTATTAAATAGGCTATCTTTCCTCCAGTGAGGGTGGTTGGCTCCTTTTTCAAAGATGAGGTGGCTGAGTATGTCTGGAGTTGTTTCTGTATCTTCTAATCTATTCCACTGATCCTTGGGTCTATTTCTTTGCCAGTGCCATGCTGTTTTTATCACAGTAGCTTTGTAGTATAGTTTCAAGTTGGGGATTGTGATACCCCCAGCCATGTCTCTGTTGCCTAGAATTGCTTTGCTATTCTAGGTTTCTTCTGGTTCCAAATGAATTTTTGGCTTGTTTTCATTAGTTCTGACAAGTATATTGTTGGAATTTCAATAGGCATTGTGTTAAATCTATATAGTAGTTTTAGAAGTATGGCCATTTTCACTAGATTGATTCTTCCTACCCAGGAACAAGGGATGTCTTTCCATTTCTTACATCCTCCTTGATCTCCTTTTTCAGAGTGCTGTAGTTTTCAGTGTGGAGGTCTTTTGTTTCCTTTGTGAGGTTGATTCCTAGACACTTCATTTTTTTTGGATGCTATTGTAAAAGGAATGGATTCCCAAATTTCTCTCTCAGTGAGTCTGCTATTTGTGTATAAGAAGGCTATTGTGTTTTTTGAGTGTTGACCTTATGTCCA